GAAACAGTTTTAGCAATGTTACGCACTTGTAAGACGGAGACCACCCGCATATTATATGTTGCCTCCGTCTTACAAACGTGTAACATATCAAATTTTATGCTCAGCAGATCACGTATGGCTCCGTTAGTTTAAAATTTAGAGTAAATTGACCTCTTACAAAAATTAAAGGTAACATTATTATCGAGGGCAGCTCGTAGGCTTTTTATTATATTTTTATTCTAAAGCGAGTTATGAGTATTTTAAGATATACAAACAATTTACAATTTAAAAAAACAYATAACTCACTTTAAAATTAAAATATAATAAAAAGCCTAAGAGATGCCCGTGATAATAATGTTACCTTTAATTTTTGTAAAAGGTCAATTTACTCTAAATTTTAAGCTAACGGAGCTATACGTGATCTGCTGAGCATACGATTTGCCATGTTACACGTTTGTAAGACGAAGACAACGTATGCGGATGTAGCGTCCTTTTAAATGAAACAAAATACTCGTACAAAGATTTCTTTGACCTATTTGTTTCGTGTACATCATGTAGATGGTGATGGTTTAGCGGCGTATTTTGGGTGATTTCTCGAGGGGTTTCCAACATTTAATGAACCTCAAAAACAAAAATTTTAGAATTATTTACTGACGTAAAAAAACGTTGAACTTAAATTTTTTYCAAATATTACCATGTTAGGAATTAACATTATRAGTTATACCTTTGGTATAATAGACAAATTGAARGTTATTATTTAATACTGATTAMTAACATTTATTTTAAATAGGTATTTACCTTCTTATTATTATTGAAATTACTGTAAAATTGACMATTTTTACCCTAAACTAAATCTATAGTAAAAGATCTAAGCACCTCTTTTTTTCTAAACTAAGTTGGTCGATCACTTAATTTACGTCAATTCCAACTTCTCTGTGGATAGCACAGCATAGCTAAACCATTTAATCACCCCTCCCATATTTAAAAATAAAATTTACAAAATYATAACTATAAAAGAATAAATCAACCAATGTTAATTTATTTATGATATCGTATTTGGCAAGTATGTTTTTATTCTTTTCAAGCTTAAAAACTACCTTTCACTAGGCGCAGTTGATACAGGTAAAGTTACAAAAATCTGTAAGAGTTTAAATACATAATTAAGATAAACTTGTCTATYGTATCATAAAACTATTGCTTCCTGCATGGCATTTCTTGGTGTAGTACGTAGGTATTTGATGAATTAATATTTGCTGAACTTTTTGATCGATTACTACGACAACAATAATTATAAAAATTATGACTGACGACTGTATCATACTGGCACAAAATGTTAAATGATTATTAAAAAATTTGTGGATACCTACTTATATTATCATAACATTTTAAAATTACCYATATTTACATAACTCGAAGTTTTGATGTAATTTTGATGAATTCGAGTTAAGTATTTTAAGTAATGCATATCTCAAAGTGAATGTTTAGCCCCTTCAGCTTTCAGTTATCACATAGACATAGGCGCCACTAAAGTAAAAATTCTTAGGGGGGAGGGGCTATTATAGCCCCAAACAAATTAATTCGCATCAATTTGAAATGTAACATTACATTATAATTTTATAATCAGCATTTTTTAATTAGCTAACTGAAGCCTTATACTGATTAAAGTTATAAAATAAAATAAACTTTTACAAACTTCGGTTTGAATGGCTTTTTAAACTTCACTTTTTTTGTGATACGTTATAACTTAGTTAATATATATAACTGGTTTACTTTGTATATAGTAATATTATTTTAGAATAATAATAAAAATAAAAATATTTTTTTTTTAATATTAAAATTATATTATATTGTATAATAATTACACATAATAATTGTATACACATTGTCTCGTGTTATTTTTTCATGAGTCCTAAAATTCATACAATAGATTCTTACTAACAATTATTTATTTAATTTAAATAAATGAATACTTACGTTATTCAGTAATCAACCAGGGTACGTACGAATAAACGGTACAGTGACGGGTGACAGTAGGTATTGTGTTGAACAGTTCCCACCCATTCCTGGTTTTTGAACAGGAAAAAAAATATAAATAAAAGGGTACGTACAGCATGACAGTTGACCACTTTAAATTTATAATTCTCTAAACTGATAAACTGTAAACTATATTTGAAAGTAAAATACATAAGTTCACAATATTTTCGTTGCTATTGTATCTTCATCACAGATAGTAACATTTAAATAATTTAATGTATATGTCATATCGATATCTGTAACCGTTTCTGAGTTTCACATGCATAATCAATGGACCACGGGGGCGTATCATAGGCGCACTAATGAAATTATAAGAACACCACTCAAATACTGAATTACTCGATTAGTCAAATTAATTAGCCAAATCTATTCGATGCTGTCGTCAGGGAACATTGTTGTACGCAAGTGAATGTAAAGCGAGAAGTCCGATTACATTTGAGAGTTAATTTATTAAACTCGTTCACTCGTTCAGTAGCCATTAGTCGCTATTGTCTGTTCGCAAGCTCACAAAGTCCAGAACGGCTTAGAACACAACAATAATTGTATTAAATCAAACATTTTAGACTAGAAATTCAAAACCAAACTAAAAAATGTATCCGCTAGATGGCAGAGCTTATTTTTTGGCGCGGGTACCTACACGATTTATTTACCAATTTGCTATACACAGCTGCACAGCACCCCAACATTTGAACTTTGTAATATTTTTATTTGTCCATATTGGCCTATTTATTGTGCAGTTTGAATGAATCTGTATTAGGTATTACCATTTTCTAAATTTGTACGCCTTTAGTTTTCGCCTCACAAACAATAAGATACCGGTGTGAACTAAATGTAATGTATGCCTATTGCCGAAAATCTTACCACCTCCCTCCTAAGTTCAAATAGTGATTTATATATTTGACTTATTTACTCCTCCCCAAATTTAACCGATAGTGTTTGGTTTCATAATTAAGTACATAATTCGTATTTATTTGTACTTGGTTAGGTGAATTAGGTAATTATGTCCGCTATTTATTACTATTATGAAACAACTGTTTCAATAATGACTAGGTATTAACTACGTATGATAAAATAGCCTGTACCATTGATTAAAATAACTAACAAATATTTAAAAAAATAAAGTTTTTTGAAACAATATCATATTAAAACTATAATTATAATATAATATGTAAGTACATGCACACTATATTATTATAATTAGTACCTATATGTATAGGTACCTACTAATATTTATTTGAACAATAACTATTGAAAAAGACGCTCTGCTGTAATGATGTATCGAATGTACATCCTACTGCGTCATCGACCAAGTCAAGAATAAATTTAATTATTTAAGACCTAAGTCATTTAAAATGACTCATTTTTACCGTGTATACTCTAATGTTATCATCAGGCATGTCAAACAAGCGCGGCCAGTGGGCTGCATGCTGCTCTCAGCTCAATTTTTTGTGGCCCTCGGCTACCAATATTAATGAACAAAAACATAAAATAAAATATTAATGCCGAGTTAAACTCCATTTTCATCATATCTTATCTTCTGATAAACTAATCGATTGAGAATTTTTTATACATTTTTTTTTTTTTTTTTTTTTTGGCCCACCTGATACTTGGAGTTTGACATGCCTGCATTGCATGTAATAAATTTTGAATTAAAATCAATGAACAATTATCATGGGACAGTATGCCAGCCTCTATTTTTATGGATAATTTATAATTTATTTATATAACAATTAGTATCGATTTTGTAATGTAACAAAAACTAAAATGAAATGTTTAATAAATCAGTTCTATCGCAGCGATTTATATTGCTATGATCCCTTGAAGAGTTCTCAGAGATGTTGGTTATCTGGATGGTTTGTCTAAGCCTAAGACCCCGAACACCTTCACGTCAGTCGTCACTTAACACATCAAAAGGAATAACTTTCGTCTGAATAATATAAAAAGCACTAGGAATGATTTCATTGCTTTGCACCTAAAATGGCATTATTTGCACTTATAATAAAATGTTTTGTGATCGACCATTGGAACTACATTTTATTCAACCCTGCATACGGCAATTATTACGACTTCCTATTTAAATGTTGAACCACTGTAATTCATAATAATAAAGTAGGTATTTATATTTACACTGATAAAACGCTTTATTCTTCCAACTTATTATTCGATCGAATGTCGGCTCAAAGCAGCAGTATGGTCGAATGACGGGAATATAATTTTGTTAAAATTTAATTAGCGAGCGTATAATAGTAAGTACACGTGAAACTATATATTTTAAAAGTTCCTTTATAATTTTCAAAAATCATAAAATAATTAACGAGATACCTATGCATTAACCAACGTTGCCWATACCACATATATTATGTTTTAGTTACCAAATTATTTTTGTTTATTTCTTCGAGATAAT